CCATTATGGTATTAAAAGCATAAAATATACATTAAAATAATGAATTCCAGTTTCATAATCTTAAATAATATATATAATGTATAGTGTAGATAAGTAAACATAATTTAAATATGTATTATAATGAAAAAAAAAAAAGACAACAGTTTTAACAATCAATAGGTAAAATGGAAATTTACCAGTTAGGTAGAAAACAAGCATTATAATGCCTGCTAATATAATATATACTAAAAGTATTTGATAAGTTATTAATTACAATTGAGACTCAGATGATTTAAGACAATGTAGTTGAAATATATTATATAAATTCACATACATATGAATTCATATATACATAAAATACCTWTTGAAATAACTAATTGTCAATAATTAAAAGTCATCAATTATTGTAATTATGTGATAGGCATTTATAAATGGTTCAAATAAAAAAATGAATGGTTAATTATTATTAATTGAATGTATTTTTTTATCTTTATGTATTCAACAGTAAACTCATATTGTACTAAAATCATACCTGTATTTACTAGAAAAAGACTAGGAATTATTTGTATTATTCACCGCTGGTAAATTTTGATCATGATCAGTTTCCATAGGTTCAACATCAGCAGATGATGATGACAACCGTTGATCACGTAAGTTTCTGGCTGTGACAGATGAATAAGTAGACATACCTGATGCTGCAGCTGGAGTCTGTGTAGCTGATGATGATGACACAATTGGCAGTGGTAAACTAATATTAAGTTGTGTAGGCCACTCAGTTGATGTAGATGCCATATCAAAATCATTCATTCCCCATACTGGATCAGCATTATTACGCGGATTACTACGAGCTCTATAATAATATAAATATTAAATAAATAAAATCAATTAATATTATTTAAAAAAAGTAAAGATATCCAATATAAATAATTAAGATTACCAGATTTAAAAATTATGTTAAAATCTTAAATACATTAGTATAAAATTCATTCAACTATGAATAAAAATTAACAATAAGACAAATATATATATATATATTTCATACCTAATAAGGGCTGCTAAATTTGGTCCAACGCCTAAACTGATTCCTAATGGATCTGTATTAATTGAATTTAACCCATCATCTGCTAAATATTTACGACAAATTGGACAGGTACCATGCTAAACAACAATTAAAATAACAATATTAATAACACAATATATCATACATATTATATTTAAAAGGGTATGCATGATCACTTATTGAATACCCAGTTTTACAAGTACCTAATAACTAGGGATCGACTAATYGCATTTAGTAAATGCAGAATTCATATGAATCCTTACTTGAAACATTTTGTATATCAAATCATAAATTTTCTTTATACCAATTTTTTTTTCTAAATAAAAAAAAAAGCTATTGGCATGTGCTAAGTCACTAAGATTTTTAATTTACAAAATAGTTTRTACTGTGAAAAATATTGGGCCTCTGATTTAGAATACATTTTTAAATATTACAAGAAATGTGCCTTATATTTTAATTTAATTTATCAGTTATCATATTTAACAACTATCATTTTAAAAATAATCACAAGATAATTACCAAGTTGTATTTTTAATTTTAAAATTGGAATATTTAAATGTAACTCTTAAAAATAAAAAACTCTATTAACTTTTATTACTTATCCAGCCTTTGCTGAGCTACTGCTGATAAGAGGACTARGTCTAGGAAATGCATCAATAATTTAATAAATAAATATGCATAGAGTAGGATTTGATACCATGACTCAATAAATATCATTAGGTAAAACTGAAATACAATCAACTTAGGAACCACAATTTAATTAATTTAACCTTGATGCTCTCCTATAAATGGATCATTGTATACATTTTATGATTGAGGAGAAAAGTAGTGACCACTTAATATAAAATGACATAATCACAGATTATATAAAACCAGATAGTACATTCTAAGTTTTCCAAATCAAGTTATGTAATTCTAAAAAACGTAAGAAAATCAAAACTTACCTTAAATCAATATTACCATTTATTTCTCATATACCCTACTACATTGAGGTAGGTTAAATTTATCAGTAAATTCAGAAAGGCAACATCTGGTTTTATATCTGTTCTGTGATATAATGGACTGAAAATAAAATGGTGAGCAAGTAACRCGGGGCACCTCCCAAAAGGTTCCTCAGAATATTACTGTTCATTTAAAATTTTCAGCACTACCAATGATTTTATCTCGCGTCACATTTTATATCCTAGTCATGTCTTATACTGGTGGCATTGTAAACTTTCAGTGCTCAGTGCGACCCAATCCTTGTATATACATTTGTGGCTACTGATAAGCAGCTCATTTCCAGTTCACTTTATCATAGTCCGCTGTGGTGACCAACACAACTTAAAAATAAAAATAAAATAAAAACTTACCAATTCTAACCAGGGTGTAATACAATCTTTATGAAACATATGGTCGCAAGCTAATTTCATTACTTTTTCATCAATAGTAAAATCTTCCCAACAAACAGAGCATTGGAGTTTCATATCTAAGAATTAAAATACATATTTAATTCTAGGTGGAGCTTATTCATTGGTCAATTTAAATTTAAAAAATAACTATTTATAATTAATGTAATATTTAAGTCTATGATCAATAATTTGATTAACATATTTATCATGTCAATCAAAGTGACTTATAACTTATAAATCACATTAAAATATCGACTAGATATGTATTTTTACCTAAATGTTCTTGACCAATAAGTGCTGTAGGTATTTCTTGTATTTTCTCTTTTGTTAATGGAGGAGGTCCAGCTCCATCAATCTGATTTAATAACTGTGAMACAATTGAATCTAATCCATCTCTTCCCCAAACGTAGTCACCAGGATTACCGAGTAAAAATCTACTGCTGAAATTTTAATACACAAAAGGTATAGCTGTGATACAAAAAAAAATTTAGTATAATTCACTTACACGGGACTTCCACTCGATCGAGCATAATCAGCAAAATTTACAATGACATCTTCTACTAAATTTTCAATTGTCCCACCACCTGAACTACGCCGTGGGCCTCTGAAATAATACATATTTTTTAGATTATTGATGAACTCTCAACCATGATTTCATAGACATTATTGTTTATTTTATTATGTTTGTWAACAAGTTTAATTATTAAAAGTACATCCTTTAATACAACATCTGTTTTATAAGAAGGATATATTTGCAAATTTTTTTAGACTGAAATTATATCAAAATAGCAATMAATTTAATTGCAGACTAAAAGGAAATAAAAATGTATAGTGTTATTTTTTCCTTGTATGGCTGTCTCGTCTTTGTAAATGTGCACATGCTTTGCAGCTCGTGTAAGTTTTATGTGATTGCTGTCAGATTTAATTATATTGGTGTTAATTCTTAACACAGATAGTTGACTGATAATCATATGTTAGTATTTATAACTATTATGCCTTACATGGTAAAATCAGCTACATCATTTAAAGTAATAGACCCAAATAATCCATGTTTTGTATGTGACGCACAGAATTCAAAGTGGAAGATCAAATTAAGGCACAATATGAGCCCTGTTAATGGTTATATTATCTAATTACAATATAACCACTTTAAACGCAACTCTAAGTCTTGTTGATTTTTTAAAATCTAGAGCCTCGTATTTCATATATATATATACAGGATGATTGATTTATCATAAAACACTCATTACTTCAAAAAGTATTGACTTTTTTCAAAATATTTTTTTACATGGTTT